CCTGACCACACCAGGGCTCCTGTTCCCTCTGCATATCTATGTGCCCAGTCCCCCGGCTGCGGTGAGTCTGCACCCCTGCCTCCACTCCCTCCGCAAGCCTGCATGCTGGCTCTTGGCAGTGGCTCACCTCACAGACACTTTGCTCCAAGCCCTCTCCTGCATCGGAACCCCCGTTCCCTCTGCATGCTCACATACCTGACTATGCTCACCGGTGTCCCACCTGTACCTCCCCTGGCCCCTTACTGCACTCCAGTGGGATGCTTCCTTCTTGCCGACCAACTCCAGACCAGCTCTGGACTGGGAAAATCACCAAACTGCCTTGTCATCCAGTAAGCTGGATTACACCTTCCCCCAAAAGGTTTGAAACCCAACCTTTGGAAGGAGGTCCACCTTTCCATGATTGTCCTTCCTTGGGTACTCTCTCTTAGCCCTAGGCAAGATACAGAGTTTTCTTATATCCTAGAGTCACTTTTTTATCATAGTTAATAATTATTTATATTAAACTTTCCCTGTTTAAACCACTATTTGCTTTCAATCACTCCTGATTGGCCTGACATTCATACAACATGCTTTATTTTTACAATAGTTGTGATGCTGACAGGATCTGATGGTAACATCCATGATCACACATACCAGAAATAATGACAACATTCACTATGTTCGCTTTTCCAAAAGTGAATAACAGTATTTACCTCAAAACCAAACCTAAAGCTGAACTTTAGGCTACTCCTACTATTGGTGTGCAACTTTCAAATGTACACATCAGCCTGCATTTCTCTCCTGAACTCCAACTTGTATATCCAAGTGCTTGGATGGTTGACAGTCCCCCTCAAAAACAAAACAGGCAAAAAGAAAAAAAAAAAACTTCTCCCAAACCAAATGCCTCATCTATCCTACCCTATCCTGTCCTACAACTTTGCCTTTAACTGTCCTTTCCATCTCAATAATAGCAGTTTCATTTTTCGTGTTTCTTAGACTAGAACCTTCATCCTTGATCCTTCTGGTACTCTCAATCCCAGATCCAGTCCATGAGCTAATCCTGTAGGCTCTATCTTCAAAATATATCCAGTTTTCAACAACTTTTCATCTCCTCTAAAGCTAACACTTTGGTCCAAGCCACTGTCTTAGCTGCATATTTGCAAGCATTTCCTAACCAATCTTCTTGCTTCTTCTCTTGCCTATAGTCGACTCTCACGTCACTCCTCTGTTTAAAACCTCTAATAGCTTCCAGCATTAGAGTAAAAGGCAAAGACCTTTTCATGACCTACAAGGACCTGGTAGATCTGGCCCTCCTCTGCCTCTCTGAACTTACCTCCTTCTCTCTCCCTTGCTTACTGTGCTCTAGGCAGACTGTTCCTTGAACTTGCCAAGTGAGCTCCTTCCTGTAATGTTCTTCCTCCAAACATCCACATGGCTCACTTCTTCACCTGCTTCAAGATTCATAGTCCCCTTTACCCCATTTTATTTTATATGTGGTATTTTTTCATGTTGCTTATTTAATATTTACATGTTCATTTTTTTTACAATCTGTCTGCTATTCCTGGAATGTCAACCTCATAAGGGCAACACCTTGTCTAGTTAGTTCACTGCCATATCCTCAGCATCTAAAATGGTGCCTGGCATGTGGTAAATGCTCAATAAATATTTGTTGAATGAATTAATTAATGAATAAATTGGTTGCCTATAATATTTTATTCAAGTATTGATCTTATGGAATAATATCAAATGCCAATTTACAGAGAGAAAACTGGAGCACAGAAAGTTTTCGTTATTTTTCCATGGCAATAATAAATAAACAGCTATTAATAATAAACAATAGTAATAAATGGCAGAGACAGGATTTGAATTCAAGCCTGTCTGTAACCAAAGCCCGTGCACGACCTTCAACTAAATCTCAGTTTTCTGAGATAATGTAAACTTGCCTCTGCCTTCTCCTTCAAAAGTGGAATTAGGGAGCTGGAGTGCTTTTTCAGATGGACTAAATTCATGTCTTTTTTGTGTAAGTGGTTACCCATTTTTATAAAAGGGCACTATACAGAAGAAAAATTATTCTACACTATGTAGGATTGCTATTTGCATTGCCACTTTGCATAAGGAAGTAATTTTGGATTTTGAAAAATTCAAATTTATAGATCTGAAATACAGCCATGCAATCATATTCTAAAGGCTACTTAAAACATATAGGAGGGTTTGAGAAGGGCAGAAAATAATATGCTTTGGGCATTCGACTGACTTGGAAGGAAGTCTAAGCTTATTTTAGTTAAGACTATTAAAAAATCATTAAAAAAATTACGTGTTAGTTTTGCTGGAAAAGAGAAGATGATCAGTTGTCAGATTTTCCACACCAACGTAAATATACCACCACACATGGAATATGCTGAGAAAACTATCACATAGCATTTGATACACTAGTCATTGTCTCAACCCATGATCCTGTAAGTTGTCATCAAAATGTGATTTAGAAATACTGGTCAAGATTTGTTTCTTTAACTGAGAAGGAAAGAAAACACACTGCCTAAATGTGTAAGAGAAAAATCAGAGGTTGTTAAAATGTAAAGAGGTAACAGTCTTTGGATTTGTCTCTCTCTCTCTCTCTCTCTATATATATCTCTACATGTGTGTGTGTGTGTGTGTGTGTATCTGTATGGCTCGGCCTTAATATATCCCTTTTTTGCTTGTGACTTTCAACTGTAATCAGTTAATAAAGTATTTATTCTCTGCATTCAGGTTCAAATAACTTGTTGTATTCTCTTATATTTAAATTTGTATTTAGCATATAATGAATATGATAAATTCTGAGAAGTCTCAGAATTTCTAACACATATATAAATAAATAAAATCAAATGTATGACAATATAAGAATATATATATTTTAAAGTATACTTGAAACTAAGAATATTTTCTTTGCCACTTATTTTGTAAGGGTAGGTCCATTTCATGTTTAAGTGTTATATTAGGTGTACTTTATTCTAGTTAGAGTACCAGTTGTACTTAGAATATCCAAAATTTGCACCTAATAATTACAAACCATCTGGTATTATTTTTTTTACTTTTACTATGTAACAAACTATCCTAAAATTGGATAGCAACTGTTTATCACTCTAGCAACAGCTAGAGGTTGTGAAGGAGGCTCATCTGATCTTGGCTGGGAGTTAGCTGACTATTGGCTGATCTAAACTAACCATTGTTGGGGCAACTGGAGCAGTTTAGATGTGCTCCATGTGGCTCTCATTCTCCAGCAGATTAATCCAGGCATATTCTGTTATTGTCAAGGTTGAAAAAGAGCAAGCCTCACTGTGCACACCCACCCATTTCAAGCTTCTGTTTGCATTGTCTTTAAAATTTTCATTGGCTTAGCAAGTCATTTGTATGAGCCTGGAATCAAGGGTTTTCCTCTATGTTTTACCTTTGTTACAAGTATTTCTGATTTTCTCTTTCCATCTCTTGATACTTTCTTAACCTTTGAGTTTCTATCACTTTTTTTTCCCTCTAACATGCCAAATTTCTAGGTGAAGACAAAATCAGATTAACTCTTTTGTGGACCTGTTATAACATGGAAAAACTGATTAACACATTATCCGGATGCTCATTATGTAAAGCTATCTCCTAATTTTGAAGACAAAAAGATAACTAAATTTAGGAAAAATTGCTTACAAAATTGCAATTAATTTAAATGTTAAACATGAATAACAAACTACATGGAAACATAAATTATGGAGGATTTATTTCCTTACTTCCTTTTGTAATTAAGCATAGAAAATAGTATAAAATTTAAATTCTAGTAGCAGCTACAGTTTATTATTAAACCATGCTGCCATGTTTAATTGTCAGAGATACTCAGGATCTTCTAAATTTTTTTCCATTTCCAAATGATATGGGAGTCATTGAGGATAAATGATAAAACCTTAAAAAAATTTAAACTAGAATAAAGGAAAATAAAACTTTCCCTGGTTCATTTACTGCACTCCTTTGTGGCTTTGTTATAGGTATAAAATGGAAAAACTGATTAAAAGAATGCATTGTACTTGGTATTTAGTCAACATTTTAATAGAGGAAAAAGAGAAACATAATTAGTAATGGAATAAACACTACAAAGCCTCTTAATTTATCAACAGTTGAGTTTCATTTGCTTTTTAGGTCATAAAATCACTGAGCTTCTAAATTGGAGGCTAAAAGAAAATTTTCTTATGAGTGTCCAAAACTGTATTATAGTTCCTCGTGCTGAATATTTTGAGATTTCAGATATGATAGTGAGATATTTCTCACACTTTATAGATACTTATATTTATTTTGTGCTTATTATTGAAATTTAATAAATGTTTACTTATTAGGTGAACTACCTACTTGAAAAAAATACAGTGTATGATAAAATTGAACATATTATGGTTAAAATTAAATATAAAAAAATTAATTAGGATAGAAGAAACAGATATTGGCAGCCACAGTTAACATGTTAATTATTTAACATTTTATATATACATTGAATTTCTGTTTGACAAAAACAAGTACCAAAAGAAAACTTATTTGATATTTTTCTTATAAAAGCAAGAATTAACATTCTTCTGAAGATATAACTCATTAATTTTTAATTGAAAAGTTAGTTCATTTTGATATTAAAATTCCTTAACAAATTCTACATTGGTTAGAAAATTAAAATCATTGAATATCCTATTAGTTGTCATGTTAATGCCTGTACATACACTGTACACTCATAAATGAAGTAGAAATCATATTCTGCGTACAATGAAGGTTCATTTTATAAATCTGTGTACTCATTAGTAAGAATGTTCTATTTTTGAATATTTAGGAATAGAAGCAATTTTGTATTTGTAATTCCCTGTTTTAATTTAAAATTCAATTACTTTGTTTTAAATGTTTTAATCTAAATCTTTGTGAATGGTGTTATTTTCTTGTATTTGACTTCTACACCCAGTCTTAGACTGTTAATTTTGGAAGCATATGATTTATTTTAAATAAATATTTCCTCTCTTTACCAATAGCTGCTCATAATGACTGAATAAGAACAGAATGAGAAGAAAACCAACATACAATGGACAGCGAGTCTGAGAAAGGTGGGTTTGAGTCATCTGGATTTTGGCTGGGAGTTAGCCAACATTTTTTTGCATTTTGCATTTTGTTTTTAAAAAGAAGCCATATATTTCTTCAGCCCAACCAATATTTAAATCCTTTTAAAATATCCCCAACTAAATGTATTGAGCTATGTGACCCTCCCAATACTTAGAAACTTTGCACGCACACTAAAACTGCCAATTTCATTTTTTACCACCTCTGCAAGTTAGAAGATTCTCTCTAATATTCAGCTGATCTGAGGTCCATAAAAGTTCACTCTGTGTGTATGTGTGCTGTGGAGGCTGGGTCTGAAGAGTGATCCCGGCAGAGGTACCACTATGTCTTATAACTCTGAGCACAGTACATTCGAAGTAGTGAAAAAAGGGAAGTGTGGCTAAAATGGAGAGTAAGGAAGGGTGGTACAAGACAAGGGTGAAGAAGTGGGCTCGGGCCAAATCACGTAGGCCTTGCAGACCATGTTAAAAATGTTTAACCTTACTCTTGTTTTGTTTTGATTTGGGGGGTTTCTTTTTGGATTTTTAAAAACATTTTTTATTGGAGAAGAGTTGCTTTACAATGTTGTGTTAGTTTCTGCTGTATAGTAAAGTGAATCCGTTATATGTATACATATACCCACTCTTTTTTAGATTTCCTTCCCATTTAGGTCATCACAGATCACTAAGTAGAGTTCCCTGTGCTAAACAGTAGGTTCTCATTAGTTATCTATTTTATACATAGTGGTGTGTATATGTCAATCCCAATCTCCCAATTCGTCCCACCACTTCCTTCCCCACTTGGTAACCATAAGTTTGTTCTCTACATCTGTGACTCTATTTCTGCTTTGCCATTAAGTTCATTTGTACCAGTTTTCTAGATTCCATATATGTGATATTATACGATATTTGTTTTTCTCTTTCTGACTTACTTCACTCCATATGACAGTCTTTAGGTCTATCCACATCTCTGCAAATGGCACTATTTCATTCCTCTTTATGCCTGAGTAATATTCCATTGTTTATATATGTACCACATCTTTCTTATCCATTCCTCTGTCAATGGACATTTAGGTTGCTTCCGTGTCCTGGCTATTGTAAATAGTGCTGCAATGAACAGCGAGTGCATACATCCTTTCAAATTCTGGTTTTCTCTGGATATATGCCCAGGAGTGGGATTGCTGTGTCATATGGTAGGTCTATTTTTAGTTTTCAAGGAAGCTCCATACTGTTCTCCATAGTGGCTGCACCAATTTACATTCTCACCAATAATGTAGGAGGGTTCCCTTTTCTCCACACCCTCTCCAGCATTTATTGTTTGTAGATTTTTTGTTGATGGCCATTCTGACTGGTGTTAAGTGATACCTCACTGTAGTTTTGATTTGCGTTCCTCTAATAATTAGTGATATTGAGCATCTTTTCATGCGTTTGTTGGCCATCTGTATGTCTTTGGTGAAATGTCTATTTAGGTCTTCCACCCATTTTCTGATTGCGTTATTTTTTTGATATTGAGCTGCATGAACCATTTGTGTATTTTGGAGATTAATCCCTTGTCAGTTGCTTAGTTTGCAAATATTTTCTCCCATTCTGAGGGCTGTCTTTTGGTTTTGTCTATGGTTTCCTTTGTTGTGCAAAAGCATGTTTAACCTTAATCTTTATGCATTGAAAAATGTGACTTCAGAATCATCATTTAAGATAAAGATAAAAAACGTTGAACACAATGATGTCAAGAAAATCAAAAGAAATATCCATACTGACTAATGCTGATAATTAGTCAGCAATTTCCATAATACCGTACAGACTGAATTCCCTTTCCTGGCCCTACCAGGTTTACTCCATAGGACTGGAGTTAGAAGAGGTTAGTGCCTCTCTCTAGAATGCTGCAAATGACTGTGCTAGGGGAATAAGACCCTGAAATGAATTTTGAAGCTGAGTTTAATAAACTATAAAAGCAAAGATCAAATGAGTCTAAAGAAATATTAATTCTTATAGGTATTAAAAAAATAACAACTGAGGTCAAAGAGTGAAAGCTCTTTGAAAGCAAAGTGAAAGCTTTGCTTTCGGCTTTGCCTAAGTAATTGTCTAAAATAGATATTCTTTTGTCTGGGTTGATCTTATGAGAATTACAGTGTGTTATATGGAGTAGCCAACTGTGAAGTACATAACCAGATAAAAAATTATATACCTTTTGTGCATTGATACAGTGAAAGACATTATTAAATGCCTTAATAAAGTCTGGATAGACTGTATTCCACAGACTAGCAAACTGAGGAGCATTGATCTATTGTTTGTAGAATCTACTCTGTTCCAATTAGAAAAAACTGTTGGAATTACTTTAATCCATTTCTGCTTCCTCATACCTCTTGCATTCTTTATACTTCTTCCTAGATAACTGTAATGCTCCCATAATCTAAATTTCATTTTGCTTCACTTTCCTGGGCTATAATACAACCAAAGTGGTAGACTTGAATTTCTTAAATTTGGATTTCTGAGCAGATAGGTTCATTCCCCATTTGGATTTCTATTCCCCTCATTATCAACCTTTCCCTGCCCTTTTTAATTACCTAAAATATACTGAGTTGAGATAAGAAAATCAACTTAGAGTTGGAACGAACTTAGAGCATAGGCCTCTGTTACCAGCAAGTGGTACTATACTATGAATAAATCACTAGATGTAAATAATGTCTGTCTTATGCCTATATATATTTATTTCTTAAATTACAAACATAACTTGAAACATTTTTAGAAGGTACAACTCATTTGGGGGAGTTAGCCTCCCTGATTTAGTTATTTTGTATAGGGTGACCATATAATATTTGTCATCTAAGAGGCCTTTGAGAGTGAAAGGGGCTCTATAATAATGTTCAGACAAAAGTCATAAAATCAGACTGTCCTAGTCAAACTGGGACATTTGGGTACCCTACTTATAGGTCCTATATTTGTCCTTAGTTACATGCATCTCATGAAGCTTTGGCCTGAAATTCAGTAAACTATGTAATAGAAATGTGTAGCATTAATTGCCGTTTAAATATATACAAAAGCTTTATTTTAAAATCCTTGCCATCGGATTTAAATCATCTCTTGCTTTTCTAGAATTTTAGCCTTTGTTTGTGAAATGATTAGTCTCTTGTTTTCTAAAATCCAAGGACCAGGAGTTAGGGCAACATGTTTAAATTTACCACTTATCACCTATATGCTATACAAGTAACTAACACTATATAGGAAACTATATGTTGGTCTTTATTTCATTCTTGAGGTAGAAGGCTCTGATTATTTTCTAGTATTAATATTTGTGTCCAGTTTTTCTTTTTGAAAATATAGCATAGATTATTATATTTACAGTTAGGTCTTCTGAGAGTCAAGATCGAGAAAATATTAGCAAGATTTCATCAAGAAGCTTTGAATATGAGAGAAAGGAGATATATTAACATTTATGCAAAACTATAATGCATTGTTCTTTTTTAGCCATATGATTTTAAGAATAATACCTTTTCATAATCTGATAATGATAGCTAAGGAAATGAAAATATTTCACAAGAAATTGAGGGTTTTTGAATGGCTTATTCTGTTTTCTTTTTGTCTTGAGACATATTTTTATTTTCAGTTTGGGATACTTTAAGTCCGTATTTAGTTTGGATTTAATGTAAAATATTTTTCAAATAGGAGCAAGCCAATAGCTTTGATTTTCTTTTCCATTGCTGTTGTAAAATAAGATTTTCTTTCTATACTTTTTTTCCCTGGGGCATTTTAGCTACATGCCTTTCATAACTGAAGTAAGTGTGCATATTTGTTAATGGTGTGCACATCTATATGGCAAATGAGATCCTTTTCATAGGGAGAAAGCTTCCTATTAGGCCAAAAGCTCTCATTTTTTTTTTAGCTGTCCCTATTCACATTCTCCTGTCCCTTCTGTTATCAGCTACCAGTTGTATGGGCAAAACAGGTCTGAACCTAATGTTCCTGTAAAATTGGTCACCAGGGGACAGCACAGAATGTGCTTTATCTCAGAAGACAAATGTGTTAATCCTACTCTATAAAGAAGGAGAAAGATAAATCTGACAGAATGAAAAAATGCTAAATGAGCCATTTTGTTTATGTAGGGTTAAAAGATCTTCAGAATTATATTTTTCTTTCAAAATAAGAAAAAGGAAAGAAATCCTGCCACATCTAAAAGTGTTGTTAGACACTAGCTGCACTGAATACAGATTTAAATATGTCCTTAAAAACCCTAAAGCTTCTTTATAGCAAAGGAAGCAAAGTGAAAAGATAACCTAAGGAATGGAAGAAAATATTTGCAAACCGTGTATCTGATAAGCGATTAATCTCCAAAATATGTAAGGAACTCCTACAACTCGATAGCACAAAAAAGTAATAACCCTATTAAAAATGGGCTGTGGACTTGAATAGACAATGTTGCTCCAAAGTAGAAATACGAATGACCAATAGGTATATGAAAAAATGTTCTCTGTTACTAATCAACAAGGAAATGCAAATCAAAACCACAATGAGATATCATCTCACACCCATCAGGATGGCTTTTATCAAAAAAAAGCAAAAGACAACAAACGTTGGCATTGATGTGGAGAACACTTGCAAACTGTTGGTAGGAATGCAAAATGGTGCAGCTGCCCTGGAAAACAATATGGATGTTCCTCAAAAAATTAAAAATAGAACTACCATATGACCCAGCAATCCTACTTCACTTTTTCTAATCCCCCAAAATTAAAATAAGAATCCTGAATAGATTTTAGTACTCCCACGGGCACACAGAACTATTAACAATAGCCAAGGTGTGGAAACAACCTAAATGTCTATTGACGGATGGATGGATAAAAAAATGTGGTGTATACATACACTGGAATACTATTTAGCCTTAAAGAAGAAGGAAATCCTGCAATGTGGGACAATTGAGGGAATTATACAAAGGGAAATAAGTCAGTCACAGAATGACAAATACCGTGTGTTCTCACTTATATGAGGTATCTAAAATAGTCAAATTCATAAAATCA